TTTTTTTATATTTCTTTTTTGGGAAAATTTTCGAAATGCCCCTGAAGTTTGCATTTATTTGCGGCGTTCCCCTCTGATGGCCGACTTACCTTGTTGCGCCCCTCTGACGACGAATGCCTCTGACGGCCGACTTACCTTGTCGCGCCCCTCTGACGACGAATAATGTTTCCAGAAAAACCCTGGCGTCGTTTGGGCCTGAAAAATGTTTCATATGCCCCTACCGGTACCAGTACCAAATTTTCAGTATGCCCCTACCGGATGGCCGTTGAGAACCAGCACAAAAGTTTCCCATATGCCCTTATTGGCACCGTCCATCTTTCCAGCGAGCCCCTGTGGCCGTTGCGGACACTCGCAGTCTCTCCCCTGCCCCCGGGAGAGACGCTACCGGGGCATATCAGAAATTTGGCGATGAGCACACACACACACACACACACACACACACACACACACACGCACACACCACACATATACACACATACTCGCACACACAGGCGCGCACACACACACACACACACACACACACACACACACACACACACACACACGCAGGCGCGCGCGCACACACAACACAACAGACATATACACACACACACACACACACACACACACACACACACATATACAGACCGTTTTTTCGGTGGGGGTGGAATGCCTATCACATTGAATTCGAACTCTTGCCACCACTGCTGCAAGGGCATCACAGAAAGAAGTGTGCCCCTCGTGAGGGCATTTCAAGGACCAACCGATGAAACGCCACCAGCGGTCCAGTAAGGGCATATCCGAAAGTTATGCCCCATGCTGACAGGGGCCTGCGGAAAATTTCAGAGGCCCGAGGGGCACCACAGGGTAAGTCGGCCTTTACAGGGGCAAGCCGCAAATAAACGCAAACTTTGGGGGCATTTCGACCTTCGCCGCTTGGAAAATAGGCAGTCGTCGTTGGGCCCGAGTTTGGGAAAACAGCCAGTTTTTCTTTGCCGCTTGGAAAACAGCGGGCCTCGGGTAGGCATCCGACCTTTTCGGAGGCCGAAACGAAACGACGGCCGCCGATCAGATTTATCAATGGCAGTCGTCGTTGGGCCCCAGTTTTCCCTATTTTCCCACGCGGGAAAGGTATACTAGTGATTAAGCCGGGAAACGGGCTCGCGATCCCTCGCAAGAATGGCCGCAGCTCTGAGCTGAGCGAGGCTCACCGGCTACGCAGAGCTCGTGCCACGAAGCTGCCTTCTCCTCAGGACAGCTCACCTCACATATTTTTAACTGGCGTTCTGCCATGTCATGGACTATAATTATCGTTCTTTCAGAGAAGGACGTAGCTCACTTTGTGAAACTTGAAAGAAAAGGGAAAAAAAAGAAAATACCTCGGAAGTTTCGGGAGTTGGGCAAGAGGGGAAGCGATGTTTCGGAAAAGCCGGGCAAGAGAGGAATCGATGGAGAAGGGTTTGGCACGCGGGCAGGGAAGCCTTTTCCGGATGTCAGGGAAAAGGGAAAGCGTGCGTTCTCACTCAACAACAGGCGAAGCCGAGATGAGGGCGCAGCCATACGCGTGCTAGTTGCTGTCCGGAGACTTTGGCGCCTCCTGGACATGAGTTTCTGTCAAGTTCATAAAGTTTGTGACCGTATGTTAGGAAACGATTTCTCGGAGTAACACGTGCTAGTTGTGTGTGTGTGTGTGTGTGTGTGTGTGTGTGTGTGTGTGTGTGTGCGCGCGTG